AGCTCAGCAGATCTGAACTGAGGAAGGGTCTCTCGACCCAAAACTTTAACTCTGAGTTCTCTCCACAGCTGCTGCCAAACCTGCTGAGGCAAATAGACTCCTAAACTCAAAACTCTTTTAGCCAATGTCCAGCTCTTTAGCAGCTACTCAAACAAATCTCTGTAGACCAGCATTTAGACTTGATTTCAGTGACTTTTAAGCTAAAGTTAGTCTTCATTTACAGAACTGTGATGTGGAGGTGCCAGCGAATTCACCTGACAAAGGGGCCACGCTCTGAAAGCTTGTGTTTTCAAATAAACCTGTCGGACTATAACCTGGTGTTGTGTGATTTCTGACCATTACAGAACTGAATCGACATAGCTCCAAATTGTGTCAATATGTTATTTCTCATGTTAATTAGTTGTCTTTGATCCACATTGTACGTTTGCTAACTCAGGCACAGTAATCAATCAAAGGGTCTGTAATCAGCCCTATTTGTCATCAGGAACATTCAATTATACAAAATTAACAATCAGCGTAAGCTCGGTCTCTGAGTGTTTACCTTACGGAGGTGACTAATTTTAAAATTATTCCTGAGCAAAAAAATTATCAGAAGAATGGCTTAGGAATTAAATCAGTTCTAAGTTCACAGACATTGAAGAAATTGCATTTGCATTGAAAATTGACCTAGTTTGAGCCAATTCTGGTGCTGTAAGCAAGATTAATTCCATTCCTACTTCAATTTCAACATTGCACGAGGGAGATATGACCACATTAATGTCGGAGCAATTGACAATCATATCAGTAGCAGACAGAGTGACCAACCCTGATAGTTTCCAGGACTGCCCTGTAATTTGACTTATTGTCTCGAATTTGTGCTGTCTTTGCTTGTTCTGAGTGTCTGTACTTTAATGCAACTCAGCGGCTTGGCCATTAGAATTCGCGATGAAGGTGTAAGAGCTTGTACAGTCGTCGATGTCCTGGCCAGAAATATCTGATCTGGGGAATGGGGTCTTATCATTAAACTCTTAGACAAGTGAAATACTCTCCAACTACCTTCACAGCTTCACCTCCGGGTGTAGAGTCAATGGGATCCATAGTATTAACCCCTGTGCTTAAACATTACTTCAAAAAGTTGGTGCGATGAATGGAGGAATTTACATTGAACAGTCAGTGATTCTGCCAGCTGCACCACATCTCCAGTCTCATAAATACACCATCAGCACATTTGGCCCACCATTGTCTTTAGCACACGGAAATGTTCCCACAATTATTCCCCAAGATTTTATCACTGTTACCAGATTTTCACTTCGGATGTCTCCTGCTTTTTCTTTGTTTTGTACCAGGGATGATCTGCCACAACAAATAAGACCCGAGCCTGATTTTCTCTTTGTATTTTGGAATTTAAAAGAAAATGGGTTCAGGTTAAAATATTTTACAACCATGCATTTTAAAATTTCAAATACTGTGATTAAGGCCATATATTAATAAACGGAGACAACACAGTTTTATGTGGATATGTTTCAGCTCAAAGTCTTGAAGCTTGATGCAGTTCCTGAATATCAGGAAATTGAGCCCAAAAAGAGGAAATGGGTGAATGGCCCAGATATTCCAATAGCCAGATCATTGTTGAAGCAGTACAACTTGAAGTTGCATGTTTGGGATCGTGTGGAAAACCCGATACAGCTGACAGTTTGGGAATTGCCCAGGGGATTGAAGATTCTGATGGTAATTCCTTTGTATCTGGAACCATCCGGAAAGGAAAAAAAAACTCCTCGAAAGTCAGAGAATTTGTTAAGTTCACTTCAGCTTAATATTTACTCAGGAAAAGTTAAAGGAACTAAAATTTACTTTAAGTCCTGGGTACCTATTAAACTAAGCCCCAGACTTATCATTGAACTCCTCACATTTATATCTTGACCCCTGCCACTCCCTGATCTGACACCAACCGCTTTTTGACCCCTACACCCTCCATCTCCTCTGGCTGCCAGACCTGATATCAAACTCCACCCCCCACCAACTTATCCAAACCTGTTGGACCTAAAACCCATGCTTCTGTCTCCACTCACCCACCTCAAACCTGCCAGACCTGACACACATCACTCCTACCAGAACCAATACCTTAGCTCTTGACCCAACCCAACCTAATGGACCTGACACCAACTCTACCAGAACCAACCTCCCCATCACTACAATCAGCCTCACAAGTACCATAAGAAAGGATGAGTCTTGGCCTGCAGTATTACTCCTGTCTTGAGTAGGCTTCTCCTTAGTTTTCCTTGATGGATGCATTTGGGACAGGTCAGACTCAGAACCTTGACTGGAAAAATATTTACTTACAATATAATAGACAAACTTTAGCTTCTACCAGTATATTTATTGGTAATTTATCCTCTGATTACCCCAAGTTGATGAGGTTCTATGTATTTCAAAGCCGTGTCTTTCGGTAAGATAAAATTATGCTGAAGGATCTGAAAGTTTAATGCGCCAAAAGTTGCAATTGCTTGATGACCACCTTTAAATAACCTTGTTCAGTGATCAGCAGTTGCTTTCCTGAATTACATTCTTTTAAAATAATGGTGACTGCTGATATCCTCAGCGTTATTGTGACCATAAAACCTGGGCCGAAAACAGTTGAGTGTTTGCTAAGAGGGAGAATATTTTCTTCTTCCATTGGATATGGTCATTGTTGGTGAGGCTGGCATTTCTTGGCCATCTCTAATTGCCTTGAACTTAATGGTTTGTTAGGCCATTTCAGAGGGCAGTTAAGAATCAACCACATTACTGGAGATGCATGTAGACCAGAGTAGATAAGGATGGCAGATTTTCTCCCTATCAGGTATTAATGAATCAGGTTTTTTTTTTAAATAAAAACTGATGTTAATGTTGGTAACTGTAATCGTAAAACAAATTTTCAAGTCCAGATTTTAAGAATTGAATTCCAATTCAACCATCTGCAATGAAGAGATCTGACCCCTTGCCTCCAGAACATTAGCTTAGGCCTGTGGATTACCTCGAATTGCTTTTACATTGCAACTGTATTTAAAACCAGAAACCTCATAACAAGTAATTCATTTGGTTACTTCCTGAATTATTTTAAATTCTGAAATGTTAACTGTTTTGTTTATTATCTGTTTGTAATGCTGAACATTAGAAAATATGAAAATACATTTAATAATATTAGATGAGAGATAATTTGCAAGCTGGGATGAGTGAGTTTTTTTTAAATTTATTTAGACACTGTGCCCATCTTTAATACTCTGGAGAAAGTGCTGGGGAGCTTTCTTCTTGAACCACAGCAGTATTTGAGATGTAGGAGCACTGACAGTGCTATTAGAGAGGGAGTTCCAGGATTTTAGCAATAGTGAAGGAAAGACAAGACAGGCCCAAGTCTTGATAGTGCAGTGACTTAGAGGGGAACATGCGCATGGTGGTGTTCCCATGCATCTACTGCCCTTTTTCATATATTTGGTAAGACTTGTGAGTTTGGAAGATATTGTCCAAGGAGCCTTGGTGAATTAATGCAATGCATCTTGTAGATGGTACATACTGCTACCATTGTGTATCCGTGGTGAAGGGAGTGAATACTGAAGGTGGTGGATGTGGTCCCAATCATCTGGCTGCTCTGACCTGGATAATGTCAAGTGTTTTGAGTGTTGTTGGAGCTGCACCATCCAGGCAAGTGGAGCATTCCATCACACTTCTGACATGTGCCTTGTAGATGGTAGACAAGTATTGGGAAGACAGGAAAGGAATTAATTGCCACAGAATTCCTAGCCTCTGACTTGCTCTTACAGATACATATATGTCTGATCCAGTTCAGTTTCTGATCAATGATATGTCCCAGAACGTTGACTTTGGGGAATTCAGTGATGGTAATGACATTGTCTGTCAAAGGACAATAGTTAGATTCTCTCTTTTTGGATCTGTCATTGCTTGGCAATTGTGTGGCATGTATGCAAGTTGCAAATTGTCATGAAGCCTGACTATTGTTCAGGTCTTGCTGCATTATCCAGTAAATCATAAATGGTGCTGAACATTGTGCGATCATCAATGATAATTTTGACTTTTGACTGAATGATGAAGGAAAGGTCATTGATCAAGCAGCAGAAGATGATGAGTTGAGGATGTTATACTGAGTAACTCCTACAGTGGTATTTTGGGACTGAAAAGATTAGTCTCCAATAACCACAACCAACTTCATTTGTGCCAGGTATGGTTCTAACCAGCAGACAATTTCCTCCCCGATTCCCAGTGACTCTAGTATTTTTAGGATCCTTGATGCCACACTAGGTCAAATGCTGCCTAGATGTTGAGGTGAGTTACTCATACCTCGACTCTGGAGTTCAGCTCTTTTGGCCACATTTGAGCCCAAGCTGTGATGAGGTCAGGAGCTGAGTTGCCCTAAGGATTCCAAAGTTTGCACATATGCGCAGATTGTAACTTTGCAAGTGTCGCTTGATAACACTGTTGATGACCCATTCTGCTACATTTCTGACGGTCAAAAGTAGACTAACTGGGTGGTAATAGGCTAGGTTGGATTTGTCCTATTTTTTGTGGAAAGGATGTACCTGGGCAATTTTCCACATTGTCATGTAGATTTGAGTTAAGTAAACTTGACCATAAGCACGGCTAGTTCTCAGACGATTTACTCTTGGCACCGAATTATTTCAGTTATAATTCTTCTCAGTTAGCTTCAAAATGTCATTTTGACCTGGGGCAAAGATTTGCCTTTTTTAATAACACATAGCATGTCCATCATAAACAAGACTTGATCTGCCAAAAAAAGTGTCTTCCAAGGTAACATACTACATAATTTTACAACTCGTCTTCAGTTTACGAATGATATTTAACCTCACTTAAATTGCACTTCCAGATCAAAGTGCTGGCAAAGGTTTGTAATACAAAAGGCATCAAATCACAGCGTTTGCAGTAAATTAGTGTATGCTACATATTAATTTCAACTGCATTTTCTTAAATAAATTTAGTTCATTCATGAGGAAAGTTTCAAAAGGTTTTACCTCATGCTGCATCACTTCTGAAGTTCTTTTCATTTTATAGATTAATTTTATCCTTTTCAAATAGTGTCACAGTTCCAGAGTACCTAATGAGCTCCAGTGAAAAATAGGAAAAACAGAGATTTCAAGTTAGTAGCAAACACCTTAAGTACTTCAGGAAGAATAAGAAAGTTAATGATTTTCAAAATCGTGTGAAGGACTTTAGCCGATAGACTGAGAGTTGTGGTATTGCAAAATGAAATTATAACCAAGATTATCTTTGGATAAACTTTGTGAACTTCTCATAAAGCTATGCATCAACAATGTTAACCTATGCCATGCACACTTCCAAACTAAATTAAATAAAAACCAAAAGAACTGCGGATGCTGTAAATCAAGAACAAAAACAAAGTTGCTGGAAAAGCCCAGTAGGTCTGGCAGCACCTGTGAAGAAAAAATCGGAGTTAACCTTTCAGGTCCGGTGACCCTTTCCCAGTTCTGAGAAAGGATCACCAGACCTGAAACGTTAACTCTGTTTTTTTCCTTCACAGATGCTGCCAGGCCTGCTGGGCTTTTCCAGCAACTTTGTTTTTGTTCCAAACTAAACTATATTTGTGTTCAAGAATTTCAAGCTAAAAACACTATAAATACGTCTGATGGGTTTTCAGCAAATATGCTTATAATTATGCAACAACATAATATAAAATACTAAAATTATCTTGCATAAGGCCTGATCCTCCATTAATATTACTTGCTGTTAAAATTTGTATGTTAACAAATAATTTCAATATTTTTAATGAAAACCATGTTTAAACACTTACCCATCATGGAATAAACCAACCACCAGTGTTGATACTGTTGAAGGAGTCATCTCTGAGTACTTAGGTCTGGCAATGATTTTGGATATTTCTCCATTTTAACATGTGCTTAATATCCAAATTGAGTTTTTCAGCAAAGGCTGACAAATATATATGAAGGTTACCCTACCATTGCCTGTTGTAAACAAATTTAGCCTTTGGGCTGTAATTTAATTATCACTCATTCATTGCTGTCTTTTTTGATGTTGTAGCGACTGGCTAGCAAATTGTACACCTCAGCCTATGTAACAGTACTAACTTATTCACTTTCTATAGTGTCATTCCATTCTACTGTCTCAGGTCTTAGAACCATCATTGCTGAAGAAATCTTCAGAGCATCACCATCTGCAAGGTCTCCCCAAGTCACTCACCCTAACTTGGAAATGTTCACTGCTCTTAGAACTATCACTGAGTCAAAATCGTGGAACTCCCTCCCTAACGGCATAATGGATCTATTTACAGCAGATCCAGGAGGCAGCTTAACACAACTTCTCAAAGATAATTAAGGACAAGCAATAAATGCTTACCCCAGTCAGCAACACCCATGTTCCATGAGTGAATAGAACAAAAAGAGTAGGCCACTTAATCCATGGACCCTGCTTGGTTATTCAATAAGATAATAGCTGATCTGATTTTAACATCAACTCGACATTCCTGGATACTCCCAGTAATCTTTCATCAGTTATGTTGACATGTCTGGAAACTTGAGTCAGCTCAGATTGCAAGAACCAGCAAGGTTTGCAAGAAACCACAAGGAATCAGCAATCAGATTTATCAAAGCACAGTATACCTTGCTGATGAATTTTCAAATCATGTAACTTACAGAACAATATGGCTTGGTCAACAAACAGTGGTGACCAATTTAAGTCTGAAGGCAGGTGTGGAGATGCAAGCTGAAGAAGAGTGTTCTTTTCCCTTATCTTCTCAGAAAGAGTCCTCAATGGCAGGGTGAGACGATACTGTGGCTTGAAGAGGTGTATTTTGTCTTGGTATTTTTTTAATGAGGTAACATTGAGATTGAGGTGACGAGTAGTATGCTCAAAGCCAATAAAGTAAACTACTTGTGAAGCCTTGTTTTTAAAGTTGGAACAATAGAAGCAGCCTGAATGGGTATGGTCAAGCTCCCACAGAACCAGAATGTTTATTTTTAGCTCTCAGCAGTTGCTGGGTCTTGAAGCTAGATGTGGAAACTTTTATTCCTCTCTCTGTTACAGGTAAAAGCTTGGGTTCTCCTCCTGCTACCAGAATTGCATGTGAGACAGAATTACATGTGACACAATCTGTTTTATTGAATTTGCCTTTACCCAGGGTGTGTTTATGGGATGTTACTATATTGGAACAGTTAATTAGTAGCAGTTAATATATATGTTATTTTGCTGAGAATTTTGATAAGAGTTACAGTTAAGCCAATTCTTTTATTTTTATTTTGTCTGTATTTTAACTGTAGTGTAAAAGTAAAGAGCATTTGGCTTAAATTCAAGTAGTTTGACCAATTGAATTGTATCTAGAATACAATGCCTTACACTTACCTTTAAATTAAGAAAATGTTAGGATCTCGGCTGTCTTCTTAATATATTTTGAGGGGTGTTTGGTCTGATCCATAACACAGAAGGAGTGTATGCTGTAAGAAACAATGCTCAAATAGCAGAACTGAAGTGGTGAACAGGTTGATTTCACCAGTAATCACTGAAGGCAAATGAAAGTGCTCAACCTCGTCAACAAATTTAAGTAAATAGAGAACAAACTTCAGCACACATTTACTGGCAAATTGAGAATAATAATTTGATCCAGCAGATTACACATGTAATATGTATAGCTCTATGGAAGCCACCACTGATATGAGATGATTAAAGTCCACAGATTCAGGATCCAGACAAGAAAAAAAATAATTGCACAATAGCAGCTATGTCCAAATTACATAAATGTGATAGACATTATTACAGAGATTATAAGGAAGACCCAAGGTGGTTGTATAGCAGTAATGTTACTGGACTAGTAACCCAGAAATCCAAGCTAACATTTTGGTACGTGGATTCAAATCCCATCGTGGCAGTTGGTGAAAATTGATTTCAATGAAAAATATTGAGAATTCTTCTGGTACAATGGCAGAGTGATAATTTTTCTACACTGGGCCAGAAGGCATGGGCTCAAGTCCCACCTGCCCTAGATATGTCACAACGTGTCTGAACAAGTTGATTAAAAATATTGTGAGGGGCGATTGTGATGCTTAATTAGTAACCCTGCCATTGATGCAGAAGACCCAGCTTCAAGTCTAACCTGCTACAGGATTGTGTAATAATATCTCTGAACAGATTGATTAAAAATACATAAGGAAGACTTAAGTGGGTCAGTCTTCCTTCTTTGAGACTCCATGCTGTTCTTCCATCAAGCTCACATGACGCCATCAACATGGTGAATGGTGTTAATCCTTTCAGACCGTTACATCCTACACAACACTTTACTTCATGTATCCCTTACTCTGCCTTTTATCATATCCTAATGCCCACCACCACCCTCTGACCTGCAATCCCCTAGTTATCCTTCCCTTTGTGAATTGCACTTTAAAACACCCAAAGATGCAAGACCTTATAATCATTCTTAAGCTGCACAAACAGCATATTTACTATTTAATTATGCCAGCAAACTGAACGTAAATAATAGAGGCATTTTTAACATGACTTTATAATCTGCAATCATATTCCAAATATTCAAATTATTTAACATAAACATTTAGTGAAATTGGCACAGATCAATTAGCAGTCACAAGGACTGAATGCATCTGCAGCACTTACCAACTTGCTGTTGTGATATGTTCTTATTTATGCATTGAGCTTGCGGTTCGATTACTTCTTTATATTACTGGTGTTTATTGGAATGCTAATTAATTGATTTGTTGGCACGTCCATTGTTCTAAGAATTTATGCGTTGGCTACAATATGCTTTGTTTGTAAATATTTGATTTGCTTCATGTGTGATAGCTAGTAGTGGTTAGTAGTTTACAAAAAAAAATGTCATTGTGATTTTGGTGGTGGGAAGATCACACAGCTGTGCCTGATAACACTTCTGGGTAGAGAAAGAAAAAAAATTAATTGGCTGGTGGTCTGGCACTGCATTAATCCATCAACTCACCAATATCCATTGTTTAATTAATTTATTGCTTTGTTAATTTTTTTGGATCTTTTATGAATTCATTATCACTTGATTCTCAAGTACTTCATAATGTTTGCTGATGTATTGATTTGTTAATTTATTTCTCCAGGTTTTTTTTGTTTGATTTTGGTTCCTTCTGCTCTATGACCTTATTCAGTAGTGTGTACTAATTCATTTATTTACTGGTTATCATAGAATCCCTACAATGTAGAAACAGGCCCTTCGGCTAACAAGTTCACACTGACATTCAGAGCAGCCCACCCAAACCCATTCCCCTATAAACCACCTAATCTACACATCCCTGAACACTATAGGCAATTTAGCATGGCCAATCCACCTAGCCTGCACGTCTTTGGACTGTGGGAGGAAACCAGGGCATCCAGAGAAAACCCACGCAGACATGGGGAGAATGTGCAAACTTCACTCAGACAGTCGCCCGAGGGTAGAATTGAACCCGGGTCCCTGGTGCTGTGAGGCAGCAGTGCTAACCACCAAGCTACCGTGCCACACTGTGCCATGGTTGTCTGTTGCAATTCCAAATATTGTATCAGGTTGTCAGTTAGGGCTTCCAGTTTATAACATACATTTTCATGAGAATAGGATATCAAAAATGCAACTGGAGCCAGGTGCTGGAGAAGTGAGCTCTGTGTGCCAATTGTATTTGGGGCTACAATTGTGGGCTCTTCCGTAAGTAATGAGCTGAAATTATGCCCATTTTCCATGAGAATATCCTTAAAACCACAGATATAAACAAAATACAACTGCTCAGATATTGCTATTGCGGTGATGAGACTTTGTAACTGTCAACCTTTGCTGTCAATCCTCTGTGAAACTGATAGCAACATCTGGCATCTGCATGGGCACAGTTAAATGCAAAAATCTAGAAGTTACTGTCAATAAATCCTTCTTCCTCTGAAGGTTTGTTGTTGAAGAACTCATAAGTGAAAATAATTAGAAATCACAAAATTAATGTAAGCTTTTACATTTAACACCCTCATTCTTGTTCCAAAACTCCTTGGAAAAGTTTAATCCCTTGAATAAGAAGTAACTAGATTTTTAAATTTATATTAAATCATAATTTCTTATGAACGAGCCCACTAGCTCCAAACAACTTAAACTT